CTCTTTTATAGCCACAGCCTCAGCTCATCCTCCCACATCTAGAGCTGAGCATCACACGGCTTGCTCAGTGCTCATTCTGCACGCTGGGACATGTGCAGGGCCAACACTCACATCTGAGGCCAGAAAGGCATCAGAAAAGCCAACCCCTAGTCCCAGCTCTGACCACTTTTCTAGGATTCCATGTCCACCTCTTGTCATCTGTGGGGATAAGTAGTTGCTACTAGAAAGAAGTCACAACTCTGGCTTTTAAGCTAGAGGAAACATATTCTAGATACACACACACACACGGATGGACAGACGTAGGCAAGTACATATATATTCCCCCCCGCTTTCCTGAGGGTAAAGGCAGTGCCTGTGGATTAAGTCAGCTGTGCAGCCATTGAACAATAGTGTCATGTGGGAACTTCATAAAAACTCTAAATGATATTAGTACATTGGTCCCACTCCCTGCCTGTGTGCCTCCTGCTATGTAGTTTGCCTGTTTTTTGATTGCTTCAGCCCCAAACCTGGGTCATCCTGAACATGCCTGTTCCATCAGCTCCTATAGGCCCCAACTTCCAGCCATACTCAAATATCGTTCTTGCCACTCTGGTCCAAGCCACCATCAGCGTTCCCCTGAACTGTGTCTTAATGGCCTGCTAAACATTCTCATCACGGCTTCAACCTATTTTCAACAGAGCAGCCTGAACGATCTCATTAAAACATAAGCCAGAGGGGCACCTGGGTGGCTCAGTCGGTTAAGCGTCTGCCTTCGGCTCAGGTCAGGAGCCCAGAGTCCTGGGATCGAGCCCCGCATCGGGCTGTGTGCTCAGCTGGGAACCTGCTTCTCCCTCTCCCTCTGCCCCGCCACTGCACCCGCCCTCCCCACCAGTGCTCTCTTTCACACTCTTTCTCTCTCTCAAATAAATAAATAATCTAAAACAAAACAAAACAAAAACATAAGCCAGATCATGACACTCCTCTGCCCAGAAGCTTTTGATGGACCCCAAATCCTGTAGAGCAAAAGCCAGTCATTAAATGCCCTGCAGGCCCGTCCTGTCAAGTGAAGGAGAGGACCCAAGATCACGCCCAGGTTCAGTAACTCCTGAGAAGGACTCCGAGGACTCAGTGACGGCCGGTCTACTCAGGATTACAGTTTAGCTCAGCAGGAGGATACCGATTCAATCAGCCAAGAGAAGAGGTGCATGGGGCAGAGTCCAGGAGAGTTACACACACAGAGCTCCCATTTGTCCTCTCCCAGGGGAGTCGATGAGGCAGTGCTCACTTCTCCCGGCAACGACATGTGACAATACACATAAGAGTGTTGGCACTCAAGGAAGCTCACCCGAGACTTGGGGTCCAGATTTGTCATTGGATCTTGGTCACATAGACATGATTGCCCGCAGGGCCGACCTTTAGTCTCCGGCCCCTCCAGAGATCAAGTTGATACCACGCGCCCCAAAGCCCCTTTCTAAATCACATCCTTAGACTACGCAGTGTGTCCCCAGAGCCCAAGTAAAAAGCCAGTCAACCGAAGACCTTACCGATCACCTCCCAGGAGTCAAGGGCAAAGACCGGAGCTCCCTTTGGGTAAGTTAATCCTTTACTACACGGGCCTTGTGAGGTGAGTCTAACTGCCTCACAGGCCTCCCTCCCCCCTGTGCTGTTGGTCACACGTCCTCCAGCCACGCCGACCTCCTTGCTGTGTCCGACACGCTCGGGCTCCCCCTCTGCCTGGTGCCGTCCCCAGCTGTACATGTGCTTCGCTCACTCACATCGTCCAGGCCTCTGCTCAGAATACCCTGCTAGGAAGCCTTTCCCCCACCCCCCTATTTCAAATAGCAACCTCAGTTGTACCAGCCTCCCGGCTGCCCTTCCGGCCTCCCGGCTGGCCTCCCAGCTCGCATCCCAGCTCACCTCCCCACTGGCCTCCCGGCTGCCTCCCGGCTGGCCTCCCAGCTCGCATCCCAGCTTGCGTCCCAGCTCACCTCCCCACTGGCCCCCCGGCTGCCTCCCGGCTGCCTCCCGGCTTCACTTTGCCCATGCCACCTCGGCCTGTCAGCTAAGCCTTTGCTGACTGTCTCACCCCCACAGACTCTGCTTCTGCTGCCTGGGATCCTCCCCTGCTTTGTTCACCACTCTGTTCCAGCATCTAGAACAGCGCCTAGCACACAGTAGGTGCCCCATAAATCTTCAGTGAACGATGAGTCTGTGCCTCCGAAGTATGAATGAGGAAGCTGCTGGCCTCACGGGCTTAGGAAACAGCTCCTGCAGGAGTTGCCTTTGTTTCTTTTAGACATTAACCAGATAAAATCTTTTTTAAGTGTTTAAGAAAGAACTACTGTCATAACCCAATTTTATACGGAACTTCCCTCCTGTTGGAATCTGCCCATCCTCGGAGCCTGGAAGTCTCTGGTTCGTTTTATTTTATTCTTTTCTTCCCTCCTTCATTTACCTGCTGGTGATTTTCCAGGAAATTACAAATGACGCCAGTGTTTGACAGATGGGGGAGCGGGGCCGGATGATCCGGCAGGTCCTGACCGGCTGCTGCAGTCCAGGTTCAAGTTCATGAACTATTCCTTTCGTACCTTTCCTCTCTGCAGCCGGTGCTCTGCTCTCTTCCCTCCTTCAGAGTCCCACTGTCCTCTGCCATCTCCCTGTAGCAACCCCCGCAGCTGACCACCCCCTCGTGAAGTGGTGACCGTATCTAAGGAGTGGGGGGAAGGGAATGGTCGCCTGACTGCTTCATCAAGTACCAACTCTCTCTTCTTGGACCCTGGGAATCTCTGAGGCTGCTGTATCCTTTAGAAGCCACCTTAGGGCCCCACAGGAAAAACGACGAGGTCTCAGAGCTTGGTCACCAAGGTCCCTCACTGCCCACTGCATCTCCCCTAAATCCTCCAGCGGCCGGCTAGCTGCTGGCCCAGCGGCCCACTCCACCTCCGTCCCAAAAATAAAACTGCCCCTCCCCGCCCCCCTCCGGCCTCCATGAAGCCCATCAGAGCAGCTGACTGCAATCAGTTGTCAGGCAAAGAGCAGCTAATTAAACAAATCCACACAAGGCCTTTGTCACAGAGCCAAGCGCGAAACCTCCCCCAGAAGGTTCATATTCTTGAAGGGTCCAAAGGAATCATCTAGAACTTAGCAATTCGCCAACCCGGTTGCGCATCAGAGTCACTAGGGCAGTTTTTTGAAAACCCTGATGTCAGGACTGTCCGGGACCCACAGAATCACAATGCAGGGGCCCTAGGGGACGGGGCGGGGCATAAAGAGCTGGCCTGGGTGTGGTCAGAGTTGCCCAAGGGAGCCTATGTGTGACCCAGGCAAGAACCCTGACCACGGCCGCAGGGAGGCCTCTGCGACAGGCCCTCCGGCGGCTCCTTGGGGATACAAACACCTTAACCTGCCAAAGGCCAAAGATCCTGTTCATGACTCGGGAGTGGTTGAGCAAATGGGCTCAACTCTCATCTTGGCACCTCTATGCAGTGGACCCAGGGGCAATTTGGGAGGAAGAGGGCTCAAAACAATATCCTTTCAGATATTGGCAATGACTTTTGTCATTGCTTGCCCCTCACGAACTCCTCCATACCCACGACACTTCACCTCACCCAGGAGAATATGGGCCAACGGTCCTGGTTATAAAATACTGAAAGCCATCCCAGACACCAAGGAAAATCTAGGTTTGTCTGTCTGCACAGCTGCAGTATCTTCTCAGGTGGCACCAGGAAATGTTAGCACCTGGATGGCCTTGTGTCCAGCAGTATTGCTCGAGTGGACTGAAAGCTAAAGTCAAAACAACACTCAGAACTCTTAGAGACAGGGACATTGCCGACCAAATTAGCCAAAGCATCCTAAGCAGAAAGGGAGAGCATGTTTTGTAGCCAAACAGCTCTGGCGCTATTGATTTGGACTTCCAGGGATTCTCTGTGGACTGGGACCAGAGGTCTGAGCCCCGAAGGCTCTCCTGGTCTCCCGACGGGACCCCTACAGTGTATGTGTGCAGCAGACGACGAAACCAGCTGCCCAGGATCGCCTCGTTCTTTTAGACTGCTCAGCTGATATATGATACTGCCTTTCTTATGGAAAATAAAATTCTGAAAAGCAATTTCTCAGCAATAAGTTGTGTGTGTGTGGCCATCAGGCATAAACTTATTCAAACTCCAGCCCCCACACCTGCCACTTAACCTGTTTGTTCTCACTCTTTTCATTGTCATCTCTATTGACTGGTCCTACTTAGTCACTGCAGCATTTGACAGTGATGACTATTCCATTCTTGAAACTTGCTCTCTCACCCATGGTTTCTACGACGTCACTCTTTCCTGGATCCCCCCAGAGTTCTTTGGTTTCTCCCACTCAGTCCTCTGCCTTCCCTCTCCATGTTGGTGCTCTCCGTGTTCTGCCTTTAGCTCCCTACACACATGGCTTCCCACATCTCCTGTGCTGATGACTTACACCTCTTCTCCCCTACCTCCTGAGAACCAGAATGGTATCTCCGCGGAGCCCACTGCCACTCTTCCCATCAGTCCAGATCTGCCCCTCTTCTGCGTCTTTAGGCTCAGCCAAGGGCATGAGTTCCGTCCAGTCACCCAGGAGAACCTGGAGAGTCATTCCAGTCTCCTCCACATCCCAACACACCCCCATCCAGTCAGGGACCTGGTCCTGCCATGGCTAGCTCTTTAGAATATTTCAGGTCCCTTACCCTTCCACCCTCCCCCTACATAGGCACCACTACGACCTGACTTTGAGCCTCATCATCACTCTCCTAGACTATTGTTTCCAACCAAATTCTCCTTCCCAGTCTCAGCATCTACCATGCTTCTCCACACGTAATCAAAGTAATCATTCCAAGGAGCAAATCTTAACATGCTCCTCCTCAGCCTGGGATCCCACTTGGAAGCTCTGCTTTGGGAAGTAGCACTTGGGCATGTATCTGTCATCGTGTCATAAACCTTACTGAATTTGAGTGGGAGGGGGAGCAGTGGATCAGTCAGCTTCAGCCCAGAAAATGAAAAACAACTCTAGACATTTCACACAGAGGGACTTTAATACAACAGAAGTGATTACGCAAATGTTGGAGGATCTGGGGATCCAGAAGACAAGGATACAATCAAGACATCAGCATGAAGGAGGCAGTGTGGCTAGAGTTCCAAATCTGGGGCCACCCAGCCGAGCTGGAACCACAGCAAGGACATCTGTCGGGAGCAGGAGCCTAGAAGAGATATAGTTACTGCTGGAGATGTCACCCAGAGCAGAGAGAGAACAAAAAATATCTTGCTTCTCCCTACATTTCGCCCTCCAATCTCATCCCAGTCCCTCTTATGGACCAAACCCAGCTGGAAGCCCGCTAAGGGGTCCTTGGAAACGCAGCTCCCTGCAATGCAGAGCAGAGCAAGGGAAGGGTAGAACATAAATGTGACAGCAAACAGGCACATGACTCACATAGAGGGGCAGGACATTTATACAGCAGTGGCTTGTTGGTTTGTTTGCCTTCACAGCCAGAAAGCTCAGTTACAGGACTGCGCACACGGGAGCTCTGGAAACCTGCGACTTCTTCAGCAGGGATGGTTTGCACACTTACCTTTCCCAAATCTCTTCAAGCATGTCAACTCCCATGTTTGTCCCCTAAATAGGAAACGAATAGTTCTTGGTTCAGATCATTTGGTCCCGCCTGGACTAACATTCTTGCTCTACTTATTTAAAACCCTCCCATCTTTGAAATCCCAGTTTAATTCCTGTCTTCTCTTCTACCAGCATTTCCTGCCCACCACCATCAGGACAGGGTGGACAAGTATGATCAATTCTAGCTGAATACAGGATGGCTGAAAAGTTGCAGGATGCACAATTAAAGTCTGTTCACAATAACATTAGAGGGACTTCCTGTGTTACCTTCCTACATGAAAGGGCTTCTATTAATGTAACTTCTAGCCCCCCTCCACCCTCCAAGAGGTGGACAGTCTTCTGAGATGACTAGACTGGGCATTCTTGGTTCAGCTCTATCATTTTGTCTCTTGGGAGCAAACTTACCTGCCCTCTACCTGCCCTGTCCTCTATTCCTCCATACTATCACCTGGCCCATGCCCACATGAATGAGGGGTAAGTGTATTAAATTTTGGAATTATTTTGCAGGCCCATTTGGTTCTCACAATGAGCTATGGCTTCTAGCTTAGCCTTTAACAATAATAAAGAAATACTGAGGCCCCATGTGATACTCTGGGTCCCTCAGTTTTTTCAAAACCTGAGCAGGATGGAGGATGCTATTTATCAGTTCCTCTAAGAAATTCCTAACATATGTCTTTTATCTCAGGCTCCCATTTATAGATTCCTTGATATCCATTTCTTTGTTGTTTTGTTTTAAGATTTATTTATTTATTTTAGAAAGAGAGCACAAGCAGAGGGAGAGACAGAGGGAGAGGGAGAGAGAGAGAAAAAAGCAGACTCCCCATTGAGTGGGGAGCCTGACGCGGGGCTCAATCTCACAACCCTGAGATAGTGATCTGAGCTGAAATCAAGAGTCAGACGCTCAACCAACTGAGCCACCTAGGCGCCCTCCATTCCTTTGTTTTTTAATGAAATATACCCCTAACTCTAACCTGGTCCTTTCTGGATTTTGGCTATGACCTAGCATTTCTCTGGCTTGAAATGTCAGCACAGTAGACCCTCATCTCCCCTTCTGTTAGAATTGCTTGATGCCTCCAGGTCCTGCCTCCTTGCTTTTTACAACCCACCCTATTGGAACAAGTCATTTTCAGCCCAACATGATTCTGACTCTTTTGAGCCCTTAGTGAGGCATCTTCATGTGGTTGCTAAGAACATGGGCTCTGGAGCCAGATGGCCTGGATTTGAATGGTCTCCCCACTTAACAGCTGTCTAGCCTGGGGCTAGATACTTAAACTCCCTATATTATAGCATTACATAATAATTGATGTTCATAAAGATAATGTGAATCATCAAACCAAAATTCAAAATCTGTTGAATGTGCTGTTTAAGGAGAAAGAAAAATATATAGCACATTCTAGAAATATTTATATCCACATAGTTTTCAGATTGTTGGTGCTTGAAGGGCTAAGCTTGGATTATCTTGAAAACCAATTTGGAAAAGAGGTATCACTTCCTGACATAGCTATGTAACTGAAGCACAAACAGTGGAGGCAACACAGTACACCTTAAAAGGTCTAGACTCAAAGGCAGACCTGAGTTTGAATCCTATCTTTGCCCTCAGCATGTCAACTCATGTAAGGTATTTGACTTTCCTAAGCACCTGCATCTGTGTGTGAAAGTGGGCATAAAAATTATTACCTTGCAAAATCATCGTGAAATAATGTAGGTGCAAGAAGATGTGTGGGTACTGACTCTGGGCAGGGGAGGGTTCTTCAAAGCCACACCCTCAATCCACTGGGATTTGGACCACGAATGCTGTTGAGCGGACTCAGACAGAAATCTTCTGCCCATCAACTTCTTTGCCCCATAGAAATAGGAAGACCCCCTTGGAAGAAAAAGGATAGCTTCCTTTTGCTATTGAAAATCATTTAGGGGCACCTGGGTAGCTCAGTTGGTTTTAGCATCTGCCTTCAGCTTAGGTCATGATCTCAGGGGCCTGGGAGCCTGCCTCTCCCTCTCCCTCCTTCTGCCCCAGCCCCACCCCCAGCTTGTGTGCGTGCACATGCTTTCTCTCTCTCAAATAAATAAGTAAATAATCTAAAAAAACAAAACAAAAACACAATCATTAAAATATGTTGGATGGGCTTGAAAACACCAACCAAATCCTGATTACACAGAATACAGAATTATAAGGTCCCTGATAATTCTTCATGAGGGTTGGAGATGAAAGGCAAACCTTCTCATTAAGGACTGAGAAACAATGATGAGCATTCACCCTGGATCTGTGAGGCTCAAACCCTGTCCTGACCCAGGTGCCCTGCTGACAGGCTTATGCATGGGAAAGAGGCCATAGGAGTGAATATGAAGAGCTTTAATGAAAAGCTCATCTAAAGCAGTGCTCAGGGGGAAATGTATAGCCTTAAATACTTAGAAGAAAAATTGAAATAAATAAAGCATCTAACTCAGATAAAAGTGGACAAAAGGAATTAGTAAAGACATAAACGCAGAAATAAATTTAAAAGCAAAAAGTCATAGAACTAGTAAATATATCAAAGAGCTCATCATAGGAAAAAATACTCTTCTTTTCTATACCTGTTGGTTATGAATGTATTACATAATCAAAAATTAAATTATCCATCTATCACTACATAGATGATAGATGATAGATAGATAGATAGATAGATAGATAGATAGATAGATAGATAGATAGATAGATAGAGATAGATAATAGATATGATAGAGACAGAAAGAGGGAAAGGGAAGAAGGAAAGAAGGAAGGAAGGAAGGAAGGAAGGAAATGAGGGAGGGAGAGAGGGAAGAGAAAAGAATAGTTGTAGAGTTGGGATGACAGCCTGTCTTAGTTCCCTTGAAGGAGGTCAATAGTAAGAAAAGAAGGGACAGTCCAGTCCTATTCCTGGATACCATGCTGCTACCTGGGCTCACTGGCAGAAATCCATTTTGTCAGGGGTAATGGCTCTCTTGGGTAACTGCCCTAGATGTTACAAGGCCTACAAGGCCTTTGATGATCTACCCCCCTTCCCACATACACACACCAATGGTATCTTCTACCCTTCTCCTCTGTGCTCACCAAGGTCTGAACACTTGCCCCTGGCACACTCCCATCCGCTGCCTTTGCCCTTGTGACTCCTCCTGCCTGGAATGATTTTTCTCTGAGCAGTGGTGCACTCCCTCACATCCGTTGGGTCAAATGTCAGTTTACCTGTGAGACCTTTCCTGTCCACCTATTTCTAACAGCAGCTTCACCCTCCACACACCCTTGGCTAGTCTCAGCCAATCCAAGAGTAGCCAGTCTACTCTTCCCTGACTGTTTTCCTCCATAAGTCTGAGATACCATTTACTGCATTTGCTTATTTGCTTCCTACCTCCTTCTGTTAGAATGTCATTTCCAACGGGCAGAGACCAATGTTTTGTTCATTGTGTCCCCAGGGCCTGGAACCGTTTCTGGCACAGTGGAGGGATGCTTAGTAAATAGAAGAAAGTGAATGAATGAATGAATGAATGAGGATGCCCATAGTGCTGAAAGCAAGAGTATCACTATGATAAGTGTCTGGACACTTTGGACATCCAAGTCTCTGGACCTTCTACTTCCTCCCTGATTTAACCACAGATTACTCAGAAGAAGCCATGCTCTACTCACTTTGTGGGAGGACCCTATGGATCCCAGCATCTGGGTGATGTAGAGACTTTCCAGATGCAGGCACACAGTGCCCAAGGCAACAAGAACAGCAGTGGTACCATGTTGGTGGCCAGCTTCTAAACCCATCCACCTCCACACCCTTGGCTGTGAAGTCCACCAGCCTGGAGGGATGTGTGAAAGCATTTGCTCTCCTGGCAAGAGGCCAATATGACCAGGTTGGTAATCCAGTTTGAGTGAGTTTCCCTGGGGATTCTTGAGCATGTTGGGTTGAGAGTCTCCGGAGGCCTGACTCATAGGCATGCATAAACATTTGCTGAATCAGTGATGAAGGAAACACTGACTTCCTACTAATTTGAGCAGATAAAAATCCAGAATTGCATGGAGGCTGCCAGTGAAAAGGAAATACTATTTTTACCCCAACCTGTAAATAGTTTTTATATATCTTTTTAGTGTCTGGCAGGTAAAACTCACTCTGTAAATATTAGTTCCTTCCTTTTGTAGCCCCAAAATGTCTGACACTATCCTGGATTATGTGCGCCACTGCCCCCCCGCCCCTGGTCCCCAAGTATACACATACACCTCTTATGAACTGAGTACATTAAGGTTCTCCAGAGAACCAGAACCAACAGGATATATAGAGTTACAGAGAAAAAGATTATTATGAGGGACTGACTCATGAGTTTATGGAGGCTGGGAAGTCCCATGATGGGCCATCTGCAAGCCAGTGGTGTAGTTTCAGTCCAAACCCAAAGAGCACCTTTGTCTGAGGGCAGGAGGAGGTAGATGACTCAGCTCTAGCAGAAAGAGCAAATTCACCCCTTCTCTGCCTTTTTGTTCTATTCAGGCCCTCAGAGGATTGGATGAGGCTCACTCATCTGAGTGAGGGCAATCTTCTTAGCTCTGTCTATTCATTCAAACACTAATCTCTTCTGTAAACACCCTTACACACACACATAAACCCAGAGATGATGTTTTACCCACCGTGGGGGCATACCAGAGCCCAGTCAACTGACATAAAATTAACCACCATACCAACTGAACAATAATCATAATATATTTTTCCCATGGTAGTAGATCCAAGGGAAAACCTCTGACGATCTCTTACCCAATATAATAGAACAACACAACAAAAGGACAAATGTCTTTTGGCATAGTACATTCAGTTATTAACTTTGAACTGCCTTTATAACCTGATATTAAATATGGTCTTTATGGGCAATAAGCACATAATCAGGGGTGCCTGGGAGGCTCAGATGATTAAGCGTCTGCCTTCGGCTCGGGTCATGATCCCAGGGTCCTGGGATCGAGCCCCGCATCAGGCTCCCTGCTCAGCGGGAGTCTGCTTCTCCCTCTCCCTCTGCTGTTCCCCCTGCTGTGCTCTCTTGCTCTCTCTGTCAAATACATAAATAAAATCTTAAAAAAAAAAAAAAAGGCTTTCTCTCTTAAATAAAATAAAATAAAATAAAATAAATGCACGATCATTTCTCTCTTGTCTCTGCAACTAGATTCTGAACAACTTGGAAAGTGGCACTGTGTCAAACACTCGGTGCGACTTGCTAGGATTTGGCCCTGGACTCAGGAGACAACAGGAGCTTTGACCATTCGTCTCCAGCATTTCCTTGGGTCCATAAGCTGGATTGGTTTGTCACTGAAATCTGTCCTCAGACTCTTCAACTGTAGGAGCTCCTCCCAGCAATACAAGGGTTCTAGGCACATAATGGTAATTTTTATATAAATTTATGGGGGTTTCTGGTGTCGAAAGTCACTCAAGTAATTATGTGTTCCTCAGGTTCCTTCATGTCAATAATTTGGCAATAATTGGTCTGCCCGCCCCAACTCCTCCACTAAGGGGCATTTTAAATACAACAATAGAAACAATAGAACAAAACAGATCTTAAGCCAAGTCCTCACCCTGTAAGGGGAGTTCTGTGAAGCAAGGGGACTGGGAGAGTTTGAATCAGCTTTCCAGTCTGCAAAGCAAAAATCAGTTTAACCATTTGGTTTCGTTTTCCATCTTCCTCCCCCCTGCATAATTGAGCTCTGGCAACAGGACTGGAGCCAGAGTCCCTCCCAGAGGGCTCCCCCCACCCTCAGTCTATGCCAGCTCCCCCTGGGGACGCAGACACCAGGCGGGGGAAGCCCTATG